AGGAAGATAAACTAAGGATACTTCAACTGAATTATCATTGTTCATAATGGGAAAAAAAAACATATGGACATGACAGTATAGGAGGTATTAAGACATCAGTCTAAAAAACAAACCTGGTAAAGAGACTGCACCGGAAACAGATAACTTGTCAAGGCATCTAATGATAATCGCTGAATTAGTAAGACTTCTACAAAAAAAAAAAAAAAAAAAAAAAAAAGCAAACTAGATGGTAATTCATAGCTGAAATATCTGTTTTAAAGGCAGTGTAAAGTGGTGGCTGGTGAGGGGGCAACCAGTTATCTTGCTGACTTCAAATTGTCCTCCACTGACCCCCTCAATACTCTGCATTAAAGGACCTGATGAACAGCAGTGAAATTTCTGCCATGCAATTACAGCTGGTAAGCAACTAAAACGCAACTCAAGAGTGATACTGTCGTCTATGGTAGATCATTAAAGTAAAAATCCATTAAAGAACAAAGTCAAAAGGGGAAGTGGTAAACATCTGCTGCCATAAGTGAAAGCACTTCAAAAATTTACATTAAATAAAAAGCTAAATGGTTTCTTATAAAAAGAAGTACTGAACACGACAAAGCCACAATAAATTAGTGTTTCCATAAAACGACATGCTGAAGGTTTTGTTCCCAAGTCTATACATTTTTTTAACTGTCTGTTAATTCCTAAATGTTGACAGCATAATTGTATAATTGAGGTACATTAGTTTACATTTGTATATGTCTTGTAAAAACGTTAATTTTTTTCTTCCAGTTTTTCTTCCTCATCGGCAAAGAACAACAAAGGAAACATTCCTAAAATGCAGCCAATGGTCACTCCAATAGCTTTACCCTAGAGAAAGGGGGAAAAAAAAAAAAGAACAAGTTTCTCACAGACCATTTGTTAGTTATTTTCTGTGTCATACCACCACAACCAGGAATACAGACCCTTCTTTCGAGCTCTTGGTTGGCAGCCACATTTTACTCAGCATGCAGATTACAGACACAAGGGAGACCCATATATGTATATGGAGAAATGACAGGATCAAAAACAGCATATGCTGAGATAAAAAATAGTTGCAAATAAAGATGATGAAGAGGAAGAGCACAACCCACACACATAATTAAAATAAAAAAACCCTCAAGAAAATAATTATTTAGAGTGTTTGTTGTTTAGAAACAGACTGGAAAAGATTTCACAATTGAATGTAGATGTAAAGGTCAAAAGAAACAAGAATAGCAGCATCCAAACCACAGCTCTACCAGCAGTAGCTGGACRGCACTGAGAAGCTGAAGATAGGCTGGGGGCTAAATACTTAAAAGAAAAAAGAAAAAAAAAAGTAATAAATAAATAAAGGGTCACATAGGCTAGGCCACTAAGTCCTTACAGCAGAAGCCTCTTCCCTGTTCACTGCTTTRCTATAACATTGCTAAAAGTAAACTTTTTCCCCGAACCTTTCCTGAGCAARTGTGATTTTCCTTTCTTCAAATCTGCAAAGAGCTTTTCTTCTCCTAGAAATTTTTACTCGTGGAAAGTGAAAGAAATACCTCAGCACTAGACATCAGAGTGTTTATTTAACCACAAGTGACCTAGTATAAAAATAAACCACCACTTTGCTGAAGCGGGACTGTTCAAATGTTTAAGTGTTAGGGAAGAGATCATCATGAAAATGTATGTACAAGATGAGTATCCCATAAATAAGCAAGTTGCTGTAGACTTTGGTAGCATTACTTGAATATTAATTTATCCAGGTAAAAGTTAATTAATTTTAAAGTTATTTATATTAGAAATGAATGCATGCTAGTATTAATAGGTTACTAATAAATACTTGATGAAGAATATACAGGATTAAAACTGCCAAGGGTGATAAGAGATACACTGTCCTAACTTTGAAATTCACTGTCTTCCCACTGTAGCTAGAGTTCAGTCAAGGGATCTGCACAGTACATGTCAGGTCAGGGCAGAGATTATCCACCCTGCCAGTTACTCATGGCTTGTCTGAGATAAAAAACACCCATGTCCAAAACATGCCACTCTCATAGGGCTCCCTGACATAAACTCATAGCCAAACCTGCCAGCAAATCTTCAAAATTTTAGTGGTCTTAAGTATTTAAGGACAAAAAGAATAACAGCAAAAAAACACTAAGTATAAGTAACAATAAAAATTTCAAAATAAGTCATAGTTCCACATAAATACCTCTGAAAGGACACTTACCAAATGTGCACTGAGACGCGTTTGCCACATGTCAGCTTGTTTGGGTGTCAGGTCAGGAATCGACAGACCCAGCCTTGAAGCTAAAGCTTCTACATAACCTGCAAGACTGGAAAGACAACAAAACACAAACCCGTGATTTAGGATCTGAAAATGACCTAAAGTAAAGATTTTTTAACTGTTCRAAGCACTGAACTTCAGTAATCAATAGCTTTTCCTTCAGCATGCATAATGCTAAAGCCATCAAAAGGCAAATACAGGAATGTGTGCAAATTGTAACTCAAGTCTGAAATGTAATTTAAATGTTAATTAATTTTTTCAGTAATTTAGTATACAATACTTYCAGAAGAACTTTATGCAGTATGACAAAACTGGCTTGAATGCCACTGCTTTAGCATTGCCTGTAGTAGTTTTCAGCACAGGAAGCATCCTACCACACACCCGCCGTTCAGCAGTAAGCTTTGCTACMGGCAGAAAAAGTTGAGGGAGTGGAAACAATGCAAACGAATAAAAATAATCCACTGCATCCCTTTTTAATTTTAAAAGAAAAGAGCTCAATTGTCACATATTTCCTCTTTAGCAATATATGCTCTCCTAGGGTCCCAGCTTGATGTTTAAGGAAAGTTATATCCTCTGTTATGTGCTTTCTTGAAAAGATGTTGAACTATAGTAGGAAGCTAGACTGAATTTCTCTTTTCTGAGAACAGGTTTTTGCCTTGTACTCAGAGACATTTAGCACACTCAGTTTCAACGTGGTGCCTTCAGAGCGGAGCTTACAGCTGATGTTCTCTTCTTCACACACGTGCAAAAAACCACACACAAGTGGCTCGCATCATTTTAACAAATACACTTTTTAAATGACAAAATTCCCAGTGCTTCCTTAAGAGCAACCAATACCTACTGAGTGCATTGAATCAGATTAAATGCCACTGCCACTTTCCTCAATTAAAATACTTAACTTCCCCAATACATTTTGTCAGAATACATTGGAATACTGAGAGAACTATTCTATTTCAGAACTGTGTCACTGTAATTTTAATCTCAGCAACGAATATATTTCATTTTTGTCTTTGCAAAGACAGAAAGCTACAGTCACACGGTTTGCTGAAGTACAGATTGAGAGCTGGGGAAAAAATAGAGCAATTTCAATGGCTTATATGAAACTAGTTTATTAGGTCCCAATAGCAGCATTAGTTTGTTTTCAAAGCAGCAAGAGATCAATATACTCTTAAAAAAAAAAAAAAAGAGACATACCCCAGTCCAGCTAAATCTGAAACAAGGTTTCCCAAAGCAGCAGCTGGAAGAAGGAAAGGGAAGAGAAGGGGAAAGGACAAAAGTATTGTTTTAATAACACAACCAAAACCAAACAAATAAACAAAAAAACCCACAGAATCAACTCCTAAAGTGACTTATTTTTACCAGTTCATGTTGCATGAAGGACTAAAAATTTCTTTTTTACAGCGAACTTCTAAATTTATTGCAGTTTGTAATAACTGCAGTAGGACTAACGATAATAGGAAGTGCAACTCTTTTTCTGAACTTGTAGTGAGAAGTGACACTTGGAGATTAGTATCAGAGCTTTTCAGATTGAAGATAACAACAGCCACCCACAGTTGCCAGTTTTGTACATTTAACACTGGACACTAAAGAAAATCTKCCAGTACTTGAAGATCACACAAAATCACCTGAATTAGAAAGAACAGTTACTGGCATACGTAACTTTGATAAAAATTTTAAAAGCAGAATGGTATCGATGAGCTCTGTTAATTTAGAAGTACTGCACATGCAGCTGAATATGTAATACTTTATAATTATATTCTTGAAATAAGTGATTTCATAGACAATCTTAAGATAGTCATAGTGACTGTCTTGCATTGCAGAGGTTGTAAAACTTCCAAATGATTCATCTGTTCTGCTATACAAAGCATTGCTATTCAAGTAATTACAGAGCTTCAGATCTGCACCTGCAGCCGGAGTATGAGTTGAGAAAGAAGTATGAATTTTTTAGTCAACAAAGTTTTGGTCTTTATTGTCCCCATTAAATTTTGTCCCTGCATCGTTGAGGACATAACAGAAATTTTACCCATTTACAGAGCTATGTAAAACACTATATTCTCATTTTAGTACACTATTTATTTCACATTTGAGAGTTCCTGTAGCAGGAGAACACAGGCATTCATTCGCTAGCAAAGACCAAAAAAAGGTCTTTCTCTTTCCTAAAAATAAGCATTTCTGTTGCCCATGAGCCATTTGCCCCACATGTTAAGCAGGTCGTTCTTGCACACACACCAAAGCTGTTTAGCAGGCTCAGGACACGATGGGGCAGGGCTGTTTCTGGGCCATCGCAGGGTACCACACTGAGGCAAGGAAGCCACCAAGAACATGGGACAAAATGTGGTAAAGTGACACAGGATTTATATTTACATATTAAAAAAGAAAAGCAGAACAAAAACCCACACACCACAAGAAAAGCCAGCATTTGATAAGCAATCTGAACTGAAATTCCATTGTAGATGGAATTTACATTGAAATTACATGTAGATGGAATACATCCTTACTTCAGCCGAAGGCTGTTTCTTTGTTAAGACAGTCAGCTCTAATAACAAAGCTTATAAACAGCTTGAAACAGAGCTGTTTCAAACCCATTTCCAGAGTAAAATATTGGGATGGGCCATATCAGTCTACGCTTTTATTACTTGCCTGCCATAGTTGAAATTCCTAGAACAACTCCAATTGACAGTTCTATTTGGGTTCCCTGAAAAATAAGATTTTTTCATTACTTGATGGATTTGGAGTGAAAAATAGATGATAACACTTCAGCTGAGCTAGATAACGCTTACTGCCTGTTTATGTTAAAATTGAAAGGCAAATTAATGTTATTTCTAATAGACCTGAATAAATTCTATTCTTCAGGCATACACATCTCACCTTAGAACAAGGGCCTACTTCAGATACTGTTTTAATGTATCATCTCATAATATATAATTTTGTTCCACTTAAGGGACAAAACAGTAATCCCAATGTCTGCACACCCGCTTCCCACTATAATTCTTACCTGAATGCACAGTTCCAAAAGGAAACTTTCTGCAAGTGCTGAGCAATCTAATAAAAATGCAGCATCATGCCTCCTTATCTCTTCAGTTAAGGAAACAGAAAACCACAGGATGATATGTGGTGGTGTGTAGTGGGAGGATGTGGGCATAAGGATGTGGGCAGTGGGCATAAGTTGAAACGAGAGGTGCCAGGAGCATTTGGGAATATTCTTTTTCACCATGACAGCAGTCAAACACATGGAACAGGYTGCCCAAACATGATGGGCACTCTCTACCCTTTGAGTCTTTCACAGCAGCAAACCCTGGTCTGACCTTATTGTYGACCTGCTTTAGGCAGGACATTGGACTACAGACCTCCTGAGGGCCCTTGCCACCCAAATTATTCTATATTTAAGATGAGGGCATCAGTGACTATTTGGCACAAGAAACAGCATCTTTGGCTCTTGCTCTTCTTCCTGTCCCGTGAGCCCACTTCATCTTCCAAATGAAACAGAAAATAAATTTAGTTTTGCTCTGCCATGCCAGGCTACACAAATAAAAATCAGTACCAGGACTAACCATATCGCAGCACCCAGAACAAAGGAACATAATAACGAGGAAGACCTAATTATCAAAGTATTTTAATTACATTTGGCTAYCAGTAAAAAGAAACAAAAGAGTATTGACTATGCAATCATAAATGTGTCTTACAGGGCAAATCAGAAGAGGAAAAAGCAAGKTTTTTTTTGTCAATCTAGCAAAAGTTATTACAGTGCTTGCCTTCAGGAGGAATGACACACGTTTGAAAACATTCTGCTAAATCTGAACTTAGCATGGAAATTTTCTACTGGAAAATTACAATAGAAATTAGTATGTTAAGGTAGAGGAAAAGGACTCTTCCCAAATCTCTCACTTGCTCAGCACAACGAACGCTTGAAGAAGATGAAGCATGCTGACTCGAGGGAGGAAGTAAAGAATGAACTTACCGCAGCAATCATAATTGCGTTATCCAAAAATCCAAACCCTACAAAAGGTAATGCATTGTGGAAGAACACTAAAAGAAATAAGTAACAAAGAGATAATAAACATCTATTCGAGTTTACTAGTTTACATGAACAACTCACATACCAGTTTAGTCAGCAGATATTGCCTTTAAGAGAAGCTGAAAACACAGAAAATCCCTTTCCTACTATTTCTGTTAGTGACCTGTTCTTGCAGCAGGTCTGGTAAACCCTCTGCTGCAGCTAAGTGCTATTAATRGCTTCTGAAAAAAAAACAATTAAACCAACTTACTCTTCTCATAAATACTTGTAAAATGTTGGATGGAAGCCGCTAAGCCTGCTAATGCATAAGAAATATTTATAACTACACAAATTTTAATACTACTTACAATCCTTCCAACTGACGCTGCAGTATCTCAGGAGACTGCCAAACTCTGTCTCAGACTCTTTGCCTTCTTCTCTCATTCTAGGAAGCAGCTTGAAATAAAGCCCTTACTTTCTCTGCAACTCCCTCTCTATCCCAGTGCAAGTGATCCATCTTCTTCAAACATTCCTAAAAATTCATTTATTTTATTTTTTTAAGAGTATAATCTAGAGCTATGCAGTTTTTAATCATATAAAGCATAGCACACCCAAAGACTCCTTCAGCAAAGCCTGCAAAYGCTCCTAAGGTGGTCTTCACTAACGTGTTACTTCTCCAATCAACCCAAACTTCTGTATCTTGATTTTTTTGAGGCACTTTGTTGAATACAATTGGACTTAAAGAGGCTCCTCAACTTATTGCTTAAAGAATGACGTTCTATCTTTTCATTCTTGAAACTCCAAATAAATTCTGTTTGAAATATTTTCTTTTGCAGCAACTAGGAACGTGTTGGTGTGAATAATTTCTGACTATAAGCATAACAATGCTGTATCTTTCTTCTTTCTCTCAAGTTTTAGCTGAAAAACTCACTATGGAATTTGCATGGCATTGCTTCCAGCTGAGTCTTAAGGTGCTACCATCGTAAGGCCATAAACAATATTAGAGTCAAACTACTTCGACTAAAACTTCAGTTTAGAAAATTAGCTCTTTTCAATTATATAACTTTTAAAGGGTATCAGCTCTTTAGGGTTTTTCCACTTCAGATGTGATCATCAATCACATTTTATAGACGTACACAGACACAAACATACAAGAAGGAAAAGAATGTGTAGAAACTTCAGTCACGTGAAAAGAAAGGGGCAGCTCTTCCTTTGGGTTCTACTTTCCACAGAGAGCATGAATCCAGGATCTCGTAAAAAAGCAAAATCTTCAAGAGATCTTAAATGTAAAGATAAGAATCAAGCAGGTAATTTGGGGACCTTTTCAAAAAAATATAACAGGACAAAACAAACAAAACCCCTACCTACGCAGAAAATTAGAAAAAGGGACACAAAAAAAAATGTCCCTGGTTTTCCAGATCTGTTTACCTAACTGTGGATCTGCAGAGGGGACGCAGATTCTTACTAAAGCTGACAGAATTTTGGAGCCCAAGAAATGAGCAGAACATCAGTGACTCTCTCACATGCACACAAACACAGAGCAGATACCCAGATGAGAGATCTGCATAACTGCACACTAACAGAACTTAAAAAAAAATACACTGATTTGGAAACTAAGTCAAAATTTAGCATTATAAAGAAGGACAAACTTATTTCCAAGTTCTCTATAACATTATTTCCCTTCTCAGCCCATTTAATGTGTATATGACGAGAAGCGAGTCAGTGGTTTTAAGCTTCACACACATCAATGGAGCTTGGCTTAGAAAAAGTAATTTTATTACTGGCTTTGAAAAATGTTCTTTCCTTTAGGCTTTCAGTCCKAGTCCCATTCTCTCTCCAACTGAGGTATTATAAAATAAAGATGACAAGGTGATCGCAAGTGCTTGATTTTGCTCATCTCTGTACTATAGGAATGAGGACAGAGACWTTTTTTTTGGAGAAAAAAGATGAAGTAAATCAAATGCAAAGACAGCACAAATACTGAACTACATTCAACAGACATTCTTATTTTACCATGTCTCAGTTGTCCTGGAGATGGTGGTGCAACCTCCAACTTCTCTAGAGAAGTCAAAATGAAATGAGAGAGTTAGCAGTTCATGGCAAATTAAGTTTATTATATTAAACTTACAGAATTACCAGCAGGCACAAAGAAAACAGTTATGTTGATTAATAACTTTAAAATATGAGGAAAAAAGTTTTATATAGATGTATTATTTTTATATTAGATAACATGGTATTACAAGCCAAAAAGTCTCCCAGATCAATATTACTAGATTAAAATTCTAAACAGAAGTGATTATGAAAAATAACAACTTATACACTGGAACAGTATATAGCCATCTTTGTTACTGGATTAAATAAATTAGAAAAAAAACACACTAAAATTAGGAAAAAAAGACATCTAATTAATATAGTCATTTACTGTTTGTTTTTAGAGGTATTTTGAGCAGGCATCAGACAACCTTCATTCCTCCAGTCAGCTTGCAAAACAAGAAATCCCTACCATTTCTGTCCTGCCAGCAGACATCTGTTTTTAGCTAGTGCAAGAATAAAAGAGAAATACTACGACATTAGAGACTTCCATTAGGGGCTTCCATCACAGCAGATCAACTTTGGTCTCTTGGTGCATGTGTTYGGTATCCTGGCCTCAGGCCTTCAAGAGCTTAGGACAAGGACCCCCTTCCTGAGCCCCACAAACAGCTTATGGATTTTTGGAGAGGGGAATATCTCTGTGTAGGGGTTCTCCTATAAAACAATGGGGCTACCACGGTAGAGAGTGTAGGAGACAACCCCACAAGTGCAGGCACCAAGTGTGTCATGTGTCAACCGCGCGCGGTGGACGGAGCCTCCTGTGGCACCTCGGGGAGCTGYGACGAGCGAAGCTGCAGGGAAGGGGTCCCGAGGGAGTTCACCTAAACTGATGTCTCTGTTTGCGTGGGTTTTAGCTCGGACCGTGACACTGGTGTTCAGCCAGACAGGCCCCTGGCTGCTGAAAGGCCTGCAGTAACTTAAGGTCTTAACTATAAAACACACCAAGTTGTAACGGCTCCTCAAGAGTTGCCTTCTCCACCTGCCGGAAAGATATAGTAACTAAACTCTGCAGAAACAATGAGAAGTATAGCCTAAATATCACAGAAATAGATGTTTTTAATAGAAAATGCTACGAATTCCCAGATTAAAGCCTTGAGCGGAGGGAAGACGAGCCAATTTGCAGATGAGAGCCCCGTAATTACCAGTTTGTCCCAACTACAGGTATCTTTTGCTCCCAACAGCCAAAGCAATGCTGAAATACTAAGTTTGTAGCCACCTCTCACCCAAATCTCCTCACACCCAGCAGGTAACTCCCAAGTGAAATACTCTGGACRCCAACACAGAAGATTGAGGCCTATTCAGTTTTATTGCACAAAGCTGCAAAGCTGTAGTAAAATCTACACGACTCATGTGCTAAAATTGATCCTGTAGTTGATAGCACCTGCCATTCCACATAACTGCATTCTATCCAGTGTAGCCAAAAAGCTGTTAAAACCCCAAACTTTTTAAGTACGTAACTTTAGAAACTTATTACTAGAAGGAGGAATTGAGGACAAGCACTTGGTAGGAGTAAAAATAAATAAATAAATACCCTATGAATAATGGTAATTTCAACAGTCGGATTAACTGGAAGGATATAAACCTCCCATTTCAGTATATAAATCAAAGACTAACTTAGAAAGTTTTAATAGGATGGGAGCAGTGCAACACTATTTTGGAAGCAAAAGAGATGAATTGGTGTGAGAGTTAGAAGAAAATAAGGAATCACTTATTTCACCCTTGGTATAAAAGGAATAATGTAAAACACCCACTTCATGAAGCAAGGCACCCAAGATGAGCACTTCCTTCAGTAACACTGGTCAAATAAGTGTTTAAAAGAGACCACAGAACCACAATGGTTGGAAAAGTCCTTCAAGATCATCGAGATCCCTAGGGACAAGATCATGGAAGTCAAGGGCAGCCCACTGCACAGACCACCTCTCTTGTCTAAACATGGGCCAGAGGAAAAGCTTGATTAGATAGAGGTGTCCTCCTGCTGCGTTCATAAAAACCTTGCTTTGTAGAGAAGTCTTGCTTCAACTCTTCCAGAAATGTACTCCAAAATATAGCTTCCCTTGCTGTTGAGATAAGAATTAACATGGAAAAAAAAGCAATCTGGGATCAATGATGAGAGGTGGGTAAGGAGTTGTGTGTGTTGCCATCCAGAGGGACCTAGACAGATTGGAGAGTTGGACAGAGAGGAATCTCATGATGTTCTACAAGGACAAATGTAGGGTCCTGCATTTGCAAAGGAATAACCCCAGGCAGCAGCACAGATTAGGGGTGTGTGCCCTCATGGCCAAGAAGGCCAATGGGATCCTGGCTGCATCAGGGGGATGTTGCCAGCAGGGTCCTGACCCTCTACTCAGCTCTGATGAGACCGCACTTGGAGTATTGGGGTCAGTTCTGGGCTCCCCAGGACAAGAAGGACATGGAGTTTCTAGAGATGATCCAGCGGAGAGCAACTAGGATGATTAAGGGACTGGAGCATCTATCATATGAGGAGAGACTGAGTGAGTAGGGCCTGTTTAGCACAGAGAAGAATGAGAGGAGATCTGATCAATACGCACAAATACCTGAGGGGAGACTGTAGGGATGAAGGGGTCAAGCTCTTCTCAGTGGTGGTCAGTGACAGGACAAGGGGCAATGGATGTAAGTTGAAAYGCAGGCAGTTCCATCTGCATGTGAGGAAGAACTTCTTTTYGTGAGGGTGACGGAGCCATGGAAAAGGCTGTCCAGAGAGGTTGTGGAGTTTCTTTCTCTGGAGATCTTCCAAACCCACCTGTCTGCCACCTTGTGGAACAGGTCTATCCTGTGAGCACTCCAGAGAGGGAGTCCCCAGTCCTGAAGTCCTCTTTGCCTGAGCCAGGGACACAGGAGCCATGGAGTGGAATTCAGGCTGGAGAAGACCTCTAGGCTCAAAGCAGAGGCAAACTAAAGTAGGTTGCTCAGGGCCTTGCCCAGAGGGTCAAGGGGAAGGCTGGTGCTTGCAGAGAGTTGCAATCAACCCTCATGCTCACCCAAAGCATGGACCACCCCAAACGGGATCTCAGATGGGAAGTCTAAGTGCAGCGCTGAGCAGGTTACAGGCACAGAGCTGCAAGGGCTCAGCTCTGTCCTCAGAGCTCAGGGTTTAGCCTAAACCTGGCAGACTGGAAGGGGAAAAAAAGAAAGTTTAAGGAGGAAAGAATTAAGAAATCCCAAGGCATGAAAACTAATAATGTTTTTATACAAACACTTCAAATACCATCTCTTTAAAGCCTTATACCTTTAACGCCTCATGAGATATGTAGTCACAAGGGAACTTTTTCAGGAAGAATGCAAAAAACAAAAGGGAAAAAAATAATTAAATTGTTTTAAAGTTATTTTAAACTCTACATACACTATTCCCAAGCACACTTAACAATTTATTCATGGGATGCTATTCTGGCTTTTGTATTTTCAAAGCTTAGCAAAGAAAGAAAGAAAAAAAATCTTCAGAGAGCAGAGCAAAGGAAACAAGTCCTTCACTTGCTTTACTGGAGGAAAGAAAAAAAGAAAACAAAAACCAAAACCAAGTGCAAAACCCAGTTTGAAGAATTTAATTCACTCAAAATTCAACGCTTCAGAGTTTAAAAGTCAAAAAAGAACAAAACCCAAAGTATCCCAGTATCGCATTTCAAGACAGACATTCACCAGCTCCTCAAAGTCTGGCCCCAGAATTCACAGCACAAGCACTAAGTGAAATCAGAGAACGAGGAATACTTTTATGTTAAAATGGCATACACAATCCTAAATGAAGTTGTAAACCAAGGAAAAGTGCAACACAGTCCACAAACTCTGAATTATCAAAGTCCAGGAAACGGGAAAATAAATTAGAATTGGTTCTTAAATCTCTTCTTGAGCCTTTGCGTTTGAAGTATTACTTTTTGTTAACTACACACTTCCTCTCCATTCTTCTTTTACTAGCAGAGGAGATAAAACTCAAAGGGGAATAAGAAACTGTCAACATAAATAATAATGCTATCCACAACTTGGGTCAAATCCAGCAAGTTAAATTAACTCTGCCAAATGTAGTCAATTTACACTCCGAGGATACTTAAATTTAATTTTGAGTTTATTTTTTTAACAATGAATATTAAGAAGGGCAGAAGAACATGAAAAATATAAACAAACTGTATCCACTATGGCCCTCCTGAAGAGTCTGAATGAAGGTCTCTCATCTGGGAGTGAAAGGAGGCTTTRCCTCAAATACATCCCTGCAGAACATCACCTCTGTCCAAACTCCCGTGCAGGCAATTCCAGCAGCTCACTCTGGTATTTCTCAGCAAGATAACAGCTTCATATTCATGGAATGAGGAATCAAAGCAATTTTGCGTCTATCAAACAGCTACACTCCTTTCCAGATATATTCATAAAARGATAAAGGTCTACAGAGACAAATGTTGGACTGGAACACAGGAAGGAGATGGGCATTATTGCCTTCTGCAGGATCTTCAGACGGATCCTTAAGAGTGAATTCTGATTATGAGGCAAGAGTTTATTCATGGAATAATCTCATAAGATGCATCCTCATCCCTCTTYGTTCCTCTTTTCTTTCCTCAAAGCTTTAGTACAAGCTGCAAAAAACTCAGTGCAAACAGCAAAACAAGGCTGAATAACCACATTCATTGATTTTCAATTTCCTTCCCTTAATATTCCTCAAACAGCAACAGTTGAGAGTCACGTGCTGACAGCAGAAGAAAATAATAATACCTCCATCACTTGTTACAGCTCATGACTGATTTCCTGATACTAGGGCAAGGAAGGGATGCTGACTYGTGCAGTGCTAAATATAGGTGCTGCTGTTGGCCACTTCAGTCACATGCACAGGGGAAAACAAAGCTCAGCAGAGCACCAAGGAGCAATGCATAAACAGAGGACATGATGGAATAATTCTTCTCTATCATTAATGGAGAGATAAATGTTTCCAGAAAAAGTGGGAAATCCAGATGGGAAGTCTAAGAGAA